TTGAATCACTAATAAACACGGTACAAGTGTTGGTTTGATGCTACTAGAATTTCCTGGGGGGAAAAGGTAGGAATCTGAGCTCCTTAAATATTCTACAGGGGGCTCAGGGGAAGAGGAGAGGCCCTCAGGGCACTAGGGAGCTTCTTAGCAGCTCTACAATTTCGTGTAAGGATGGGAGCTGCAGCTGTGCAGTGCTATGCATGGGTGGAAGGTCCTAGGACATGAGATCATACATGCATAATTGAGTTTTGTGGCCTATTTCTCACGTAATTGAAAAGGCTACAGTTACTGTGCAGGGGCTGTGCAATTGTAGAGTTGGTTGCATACGTGTAACTCTGCTTATGCAAGTTTGTGATCATGAGAAATGCATGTCCATCATGCATAATTCAATCTTGCATGTAGAATTTAAGCTCCTTTCCCGTGTAGGCTGCTTTGAATTATGCAAGCTTTGAATTAGAGCACAAAAGGGTCCTGATGACGCCATCCAAGAGGGTTATGATGCAATCTGATGCCCTGATGATGTGATCAAGGATGGGTAAGCTTCAGATAAATGTATATAGCTTATTCCTCATCCATTTCACGCTTCTACTAGCTGATTCTTTATACATATGTAATTATTTATGGCTTATAAAATATGTACATAATGTATAAGAATAAACATTGTTTTAATACTTTATTCTAATGATATTTCTGTGAAATCCTAGTGATATTATATGTACAATACTCAAGGGGATTTCACAGTTAATTATAGAATTATTAAATATAAATTATGAATTAAGATTAAATGTAAATACATATTTATTTATTTATTATTTTAACAACAATGTATACTATTTTCCAGTATTCAATTAATTATTATTATTGCAGTTACTAGGTACATTTCACGTACTGTGAAATGTGCTCTGTGGCTGACAAATCTGGCTTCTTGAAGGGTACGTTAGTGGGAACAGCTGAGGGTGGAAGATTAGCGTCCAATGGCTGATGTGGTGGAGCCATCTTTCCTGCTGTTAAAGAGGCTAATTGTCTTGTGAGGTCTTGAATCTTTTTCTCGTAGGATTCTGGCTGTGGTGCTGGTGCTGGGGGTCTGGGAATGGGGTTTCTGGATGGCTTAGCTGGCTCTACGTTGGTTTGTTCAAGCCTTCCCAAAGATCTATGTTCCATTACAGAGGTTGACTGAACTTCTCTCTGAATATATTGAACAATAATCTTGGTGACCGGTAGAATATCGCCTCCGTCCTTAGAAACGCGCATCTTATTATCACGGATAAGCTCCCGAGTGACGGCAGTTTCTAACGGTAGACTAAGAGCCTCCAACAACAATTCTCGAAAATCTTCCAAGTCAGAGTTGTATCCCATCCGCACCAAGTAGTGACTGATCATTTCAAATTTCGACCGAAATATCTTAAACTCCTCCAAGGTTCGAATGCCTCCTTTCTTGGCAGCGGTGTTGACTAAATCCTTCAAGTCTTGCTTCGTATATTTTACCAAGGGCAGAGACTTTCCGAACCGATCCAACAATTGTTTCTTCAGTTCCTCCCATTCGACCGTCTCATATCCTTCCATCTCCTCGACCTCATCCTTCAAATCACCTCCTCTTACGAACGAGATGATCTGTTTCGCCAAATCCGTCGCGCTAGCTCCATCTGCTTCTCCCGCACGCTCATGCCGCTTAATAAATTTCTCGATCGGCATGTTCGTTCCATCGAAAAATAATTCCTTGTCTAGAGGCTTAATCTTGACTACCCTTCGACTATCAGTTGGTCCTGCGTATTTAGGAATTTTGGGTTCTTTTTCAAGGAAATGGGTGTTGGATTCTGCTACTGAGTGATGAGACCGGAGATGGTTATCTGGAGTAATAGGGCTGGGTTGCGGCATGTCTAATCTGGTGTCCAGAGGATGGATGAGGGAACTTCCAGAAGAAGCTACAGATGGTTCTCGATGCTGGGTAAAGGCAGTGTTACCAACGTTGATGAGAGGAGTGTATTCAGACATTTTCTCTTAATCTGTTATAAGGGTTCTTTATAATTTAAGGTGAGATTTGAGAAAGGTTCAGGTATTCTGAGTAAGACTAGCAAAAGGGAGTAGTATTTTTAAAAGACTAAATTTATCTAAAGAAATGTGCCACTGTTGGGACACCACTTGTGGAACTGCTCAGCAAGTGAGTAAAGAGCTTGGAGGGGATAAAATAGCTAATAAGACTATGGAATAGTAGAATTAGTATCTGTGTGTGGGTGAGACTGCCCTCCTGTCTAGCTTGCGGGAAAGTTACAATAAGAAAAATAAGAGTGTGGCTTATTTCTAAATTTATCTTAGTGTTGATACTACTGTTGTTGTTACTTAAGAATACCTGTTGAGGAGGTAGGAGTTTTATGTGGTTTTCTGAGTAGTAAGGGTTTCTGTAGGACTTCTCTGTTAAATCTGTTATAAATTCTCTCTGGTTCTCTGATCTCTCTAGTTTCTCTGGGCTCTGATAAAGGTACGCTTATTTCTCTAATTTCTTTCAAAGAGGTGAGAATGGCTAAGCAATATTTCTGTATTACTTTTCTATGGCCAAAATTGAGGTAAGGGAAGTTCAAGGGCTCTAATAATCTCTGGATCTCTTAATCAAAAAGGGTGATGAAAGCTGAGTAATATCTCTTATTACTGTTCTGTAGCTAGCATGAGGAGGAAGAAAGGAAAACATGAGCCAGGGGAGCCTCTATTTATAGACAAATGGTTCTGCAGTACATGGGTTTTTGGCCTGAACACAAGTTCGTCTGAGAAGGGTACTTCTAGAGTGGTTTTTACTACTCTAAGATGGCCCAATCTGATATGAATTAATCTCTAAGTGCCTTTCTAATACAAGAGGTTGTAAATCTACTATGTAAGGCCTATTCTTGGCTTAATTAATATGAGAATGGTATTCTTAGACTAATTAGTATAAGAGTTGTTTTCTGGAACTAGTCTGTGAAGCCCTTTCTGATTAGTAGCTTGTTTTACTAGTCTAAGATGAATGTATTATAGTTCTACAGGTTATTTGTATAATTTTTATTCATGAGAAATTGGATATCTTAAGCCTAGTTTGTGAATTAATTAACTAAAATTTAGCCCAGTAATATTTATGTGGTTTGTTTCCTAACCTACCCCCTTCCCTCTAGTATTTTATCTACTATGTATACGTAATAAAGTGTTTTTATTTATGGGCTATGGGTTTGATTATTCTCACCACACCGGCGCACCCGCCAGGTGGTGCCGGGTGCCAGTTTGTTTGGATAAAAAAGGGGCGGTACCCGGGTACTGCCCCCACAGGACCGGTTTTAACCAGTCCTTGATGGCGGTAAACACCCCCATCAAGGACCGGTCATTGATGAACACCCCATCAATGAAACTGTTATTTATGCCCCTCAAGGACCAGTTTTAACCAGTCCTTGATGGGGGTAGACACCCCTTTGATGACCGGTCAAATGGTGATCGATGGAACAACACACTCCCATCAATGACAGTTTTGATGACCGGGCAAATAGTCATCAATGGGGTTGTTTACCCCCATCAAGGACCAGTCAAAGCCGGTCCTGGATGGGAGTGTGTCCTCCCACATGGGATCAATATCCAAATCAGTCAGGATATGGGCACCAAACAGGAACACATCCTTGGGAAACTTATTAAGGAGAAAGTTTGTACAAACACCCTTTAATCTCTCTTTTTTTTCTCCACTTGCCGTTGATGACCAGTGTCATAACTGGTCATCAATGAGGGGGACTGTATGGCCAAATTGGCTGATGGATTCATTTTTTTTTTCCATTTCTAATTTGTTTTGGCCATTGTGGCAAGTCAGTGCCGCCATAGTTTTTTTTTTTTTTTTTTTTTTTTTTGGGGGGGGGGGGGTGTTAGAGTTAAAGCTAGTTACAAGATTACAAACTTAACTTTAGACAAACTTACCATGTGTTTCAACCATGTGTCCCATCATATTTAACCTAGTTACTGCGGCGGAGATCATGTACTTAGTCTTGTTGTTGTATGCGCCGGTTCCCGGCCCCCTTCTCTCTCCTCACCTAGTTTGGAGCCGAGAACCGTAGCCGTAGCCTGTGCTCACGACGTGTTCCTTTTTGTCAGGTTCACTTTCTAACAAGTATCACCTAAGACAGAGGAAAGTGAGTCAAGGGGTGGCAGGAATGCGAGGAGGGAAGGAGTGGGGGAGAACGAGCTGCAGGCAGCTACATAGACTGTGAAGCCTGAGTCCCACCACACCTCGGCTCCCGCTCCCGGAAGGCTCAAGCCGGCGCGTCTTCCCTGCACACGCCGGCCAGCGAGGCTTCTAGTTCAGAATGCGTCCCGCGGCGTCAGGGCTTTTGCCGTGAGTGTCTAGTAAAAGTATACTCGCTTGAACTTTTCACCACTTGGCCTCGAAGCCTGTTGGCCCCCAAACAGGTATTGCGGTTGGTGCAATGCAACAGGGGGTACAGGGGTGAGGCCACTCACATGCCAACGCCGCCCACAGCAGGGAATCGGGGCTCGCTTTAACTTCGTGTATGTATGTACTCGTACGTATGTATGATGAACATTTTTGCCGGTCAAGCAGGCGATGAACATTTTTGCCAGTCAAGCGGGTGCGATGACAGCATGGAACAATTGAAGAACCAGCATTTGGCACCTGGCTGGATTGTGCAGGTGCCCCATCACACAAGTCGGTGGAGCAGACAAGTTGTAGATAAACGCGCCACAGTCAAAAAGCCCGGAACTTACCGGAGGAGTGGACAAACGTGCCTTGGAGCTGACAACAGTCCTGTTGCTAGCTACATGTACGTGCAGATTATAAATAGTCGTTGCGGGCAGCGCGTCGGGGAAGGTCACCCCATCCAACAATCTTGCAATCCACCAATAGTCTCATCCATCAAAGCAAATACTTCGACTGATCGATCATCCATCGTAAGTAGCTCCTATGCCTAATGCATTTAACAATCATAATATAATCGCTAAACATCTAACGTCGCAAATCGTAATTATTAGATCCTCTTGCCAAAATGCGATTGGCAACCTTGTTCCAATGCCTGGTGGTCGCCTTGATCCAGGGTGAAAGTGCTTTCGGTCGATCCGTGGACACTTGCCTGGTTGGACAATACAAGATGTGCGAGCAAAAAGGTGCCAAGTTCATTTGTAAGCTATCCGCTCGTTAAGCTCATCTCCACATATCTTACCACCAATTTTGCTGACTCAAATGGCCTCTGAAGTAACCGAGCCCAAGAATGATTTGTGCCCATCTGGAACAACAACAATCAAATGCTGCTCGTACAATGTACGTTTTCGTCTCTCTGAGGATTCATGTATACAGCCGCTTGCACTGTGCTCATAAGCTGACTACGTATATATTATTTATGGCTGTATCTATCTTTTCTTGTGTGCTGCACCAAAGAACCCGGGAACTTTTCCTACGCAAGCAGCATTGAACCGTTCATGCAATGGAGAATAGTGACAAATCTGAAATGATCATTATTAGATTTTTGTCCCATGCCCGAATGGGGTCCTTGATGCTCCGATTTCCATTTCCTTCCTCAGATCAAGCTAGCATTCAACTCGGACCTTTGAGTTGTAGCATTTCAGTCGCTCCCCTCACGAAATACGATTCTACATTTGTTCTGTGCCCATAGGTGTTTGATCGACCTGCCCTTTTCCAAGGACTTCCTCTGATCTTTGAGCATATCCAGTCCTTGAGCATGATACGCTGTTCCTTCTAACTCTCCTACTCTCTGTCGGGCGACTTTGGCCCCAAGCCCGCTCCTTCGGCTCCTTCGGAGGATTGCTTGGCGAGGTCTCGACACACCTCCGATGTAGGGGCTGGTCTGGGCTGGTGTTAAGCTAGGGACGGATGGTTGTGTCATGATGTGCGGAGCGGCCAAGGTCTCCCCGCGTACCCGCGTGGAGGTTCACCCAACGGGGCAGAGCGGGAAGAAGAAAATTACAGTCAACCATGCGAGTTGATGAGGAGGGTTGAATTAGGTTGAATTCCAGCAGGTAGAAAAGTGACTTGTTACATGGGATTAAGAATAAGTATCTTTTTGTTTTTTCGTGTCTCCGACATGATGCAATGGAACCAAAAAGAAAGATGGATACAATATATATAATCAGACCTATCCGTCCAAAAGAAAACATACTGAAAGTTTTCATTAAAGGATAGAAAGGATTTAGAAAAAGAGCCTATGAGTACATAATTAATTGGGAATGACTAAAATGAGTGTACAGGCCAAGCCAAACAACGAATAGATAGATGAAGGCAAAAGATTGTGACCGAAAGAGTTTGGACTCTGGAGTGGTTGAAGCCTTGTCAGATGATATAGGCAAATCAGTCGCATAAACCTAAGCGGTGCTGGTTGTTGGTGTTGGCGAAGATCCACCAGCTGCAGCTGTATAGACTTCGAGAACAGTGTTGGGCGCAATTGTACTGCTGAGGGACACCGCTCCGTTTGCGGCCACAGGAGGTTGGGTTGCTAGCGAGAGCGAGGAGGGATGCAGGCAGCCAGACTGTGAATTTTGAAAGCCTGAGTCCCAGACACCTCGGCTCCCGCCCCAGAAGGCAACAGCCACGTCTTCCCTGTACACGCCGGCCAGCGGGCTTCTAGTTCAGAGGGCGCCCGGGCTCCCGTCACCGTTCCAGAAGACAGACAGGACTCGATAGTACATACATATGTACATGAAAGTATGCTCGCTTGAACTTTTCTCCACTTGGCTCCGATGCCTTATGTCGGCCTCCGAATATGTATGTGTGTATTCGTACGTATGATGAACATTTTTGAGCATTTTTGCCGGTCAAGCAGGCGCGATGACAGCATGGCACAATTGAAAAACCGGCAATTTGGCTTTTTGGCTGGATTGTGCAGGTGCCTCATCTCAAGTCGGTGGAGCAGACAAGTTGTAGATAACGCGCCACAGTTCAAAAGCCCGGAACCTACCGGAACAGTGGGCAAACGCGCCTCGGAGTTGACAACAGTCCTTTTGCTAGCTACATGTACTTGCGGATTATAAATAGTCGTTGCGGTAGCACGCCGTAGAGGTTCGCCCTCATCCGATTCCAACAATCTTGCAATCCACCAATAGTCTCCTCCATCAAAGCAAATACTTTGACTGATCATCCATCGTAAGTAGCTCCTAACTGCCTAATGTGTATAATAATCATGATAAATATAATCACTAAACATCTATCGTCGTAAAACTATTTATTAGTAGATCCTCTTCGGCCAAAATGCGATTCGTAACCTTGTTCCAATGCCTGGTGGTCGCCTTGATCCAGGGTGAAAGTGCTTTTGTTCGATCCGTGGGCACTTGCCAAACAGGACAATTCACGATGTGCGAGACAACAAGTAAAACCGAGCACATTTGTAAGCTATCCACTCGTGAAGCTTATATATCTTAGCATTAATTTGGCTGACTCAAATGGCCTCTGAAGTAACCGTGGCCAAGGATGGTAAATGCCCAGCTGATATAACGAGAATCAAATGCTGCACGACCAATGTACGTTTTCGTCTCTCTGAGGATTCATGTATACAGTCGCTTGCACTGTGCTCATAAGCTGACTACGTATATATTATTTATGGCCGTATATCTTTTTTTGTGTGCTGCACCAAAGAACACGGGAAAATTTGCTTCGCGAGAATTATTGAACCGTTTATGCAATGGAGTATAGTGACAAATCTGAAATGATCATTGTTAGATTTTTTGTTTGCCCGAATGGGCTCCTTTATGCTCCGATTTTCATTTCCTTCCTCAGATCAAGCTAGCATTCAACTTGGACCTTTGGGTTGTTGTAGCAGTTCAGTCGCTCCTCTCACGAAATACGATTCTGCATTTGTTCTGTGCCCATAGGTTTTTGACCGACCTGCCCTTTTCGAAGGACTTACTCTGATCTTTGAGCCTATCCAGTCCTTGAGCATAATACGCTGCTCATCCTAACTCTCCTACTCTCTGTCGGGCGACTTTGGTCCCAAGCCCCTCCTTCAGAGTCTCGCTTCGCGAGGTCTCGACACACCTCCGATCGAGGGGCTGGCTGGCGTTAAGCTAGGGACTAATGATTGTGTCATGATGTGCGGATCGGGCAAGTTCTCCCCCCCTGGAGGCTCACCCGACGGGGCAGGGCATGACGCAACCATGCGAGTTGATGAGGAGGGTTTAATTTCAGCAGGTAGAAAAGTGACTTGTTACATGGGATTAACAATAAGTATATTGTTGTTTTTTCGTGTCTCCGACATGATGCAATGGAACCAAAAGAAAAAAATGGATACAATATATATAATCAGACCTATCCGTCCAGAAAAAAAAAACATACTGTTTAAAGTTTTCATTAAAGGATAGAAAGGATTTCGAAAAAGAGCCTATGAGTACATAATTAATTGGGAATGACTAAAATGAGTGTGCTGGCCAAACCAACCAACAAATAGATAGATGAAGGCAGAAGGTTGTGACTTGAAGAGTTTGGAGTGGTTGAAGCGTTTTCAGATGATATAGGCGAATTAGTCGCATAAACATAAGCAGTGCTGGTTGTTGGTGTTGGCGAAGATCCACCAGCTGCAGCTGTATAGACTTCGAGAACAGTGTTAGGCGCAATACTGCTGAGGGACACCGCTCCGTTTGCGGCCACAGGTGGTTGGGTTGCTAGCGACGGCATGGAAGTCGTCGAGGGGGTGGGCAAGGAAATCGCCTAAACAAAATCAAGATAACATTGGGATTGTAAGTGTTCTCTCATTATGCCAGCCTCTTCTAATGCGATATTCAACTGACCATACTGCCACTTAACACCGGTTGTTGACCTAATGTATTGTTATATCCTTGATTTTGCTTGTTTTTTGAGCCATCTGATGCACTTGATGAGTTTGATTTGGCTGTTGCTGCAGAGGGTGCGGCCGTCAAGAGGGCACTCGTGACGAGATCAGAAGGTTTGGCGATCGGCACTCCAACTGGGACGGGTCCAAAATCTGGATGAGAGGGATCCGTCAGTAGGCCACCGTTCAAGTCTGATGATCCAGGAAGGGACTGATTGGTGGCAGGAGTCGAATTGCTGGGGGGATTATAACCAGATTGTTTTACCGGAGAAAGACTGGTAGATTCATTGCCCGCGGGTTGGTGGGGAGACTCCAGTCGTTTGGCCACTTCATGCGATCTGCTCGTGGTGTTCGAATCCTTTGGAAATGTCGCTTTGTGTGAAGGAATAAGAATGCCGCAAGTAATGATCAAGAAAATCGTAACGTTGGTCATGTTCCAAAGCTGGACTTTGCAAGGTGTGATGAAAGTCATTCCGAAAATTCGCCTGGATAGGTGGAGGTTCTTGAAACTTGAAGCAAATTGAAGGTTCAACCTTGTTTTTTTTTTTTTTTCCTGCTGCGAGATTTATCTACGATGAAAAGAGGCGTTTGAGGGTCGATGAATGTCCGGTTAATTAACAGGAGCCATCATAAAAGATGAATACGTGACCAACCAGATAATTTGACAGGAGTCACCAAGGGTGGCAGGTTAGACTAATTTTTTTGATAAGATCTTTGGGACGAAAAGGAGGAATTCCATGAATAAGGAGACGCGAGTTTTTCTTCATTAGGACATCTTGCGTGAAACTTGAGGTGCCTACCAAGTAGAATACGCGGTTAACTACATGCGCTGTCGAAAGGTTCGCCGCGCTATGCAGTTTGGGATAAAGATGATGACCGTCTAGGATCTTGCGTCGCTATAAAAAGTAGGCCGCATAGAGTACAAAACCAAACGTTAGCAGTGTTATGGAGTATTGCGCCCGAACGGGTGAAGGAATAGTTATTTACCTTGATTCTTGAATGTGAAGTTTTTTATGAAAGTGAAGTTGGCAGATGGGTCCCAGGAGGAAATGTGATAATCAAAATAAAAGAGCCTTGGGGTGGTGACCCAATCCAGTGGACTAAAGGATAGATAATCAATCAAACCCAACTTGGAAAAAAAAACTGATATTTTTGGGACCTGGTCTGGTTAAACCAACAGTTGGACCAGAACTTCTGCCAGCCGGGGAGAGTTTCAGTCTTCTCTTGGACAAGTATTTTTTTTTATTGATTATTTCTGGGAGGATCAAACCGCAGGCAACATGAATCTGTCCTAGCTGGGAATTCAAGTTGTAATTGTCCTCTCCTACATATACAAGAAACGGAGCAGCAGTTAAGGAGGGGGTTACCATAGCGTAGAATTTATCCCGGAAAGTAATTATGATATTCTTACAAACGATACGCAGGTTCTCTCACCAGTGGAAGCTTGGGAAGTTAAAACAGAAAGTGCTCAAAAGATGATACATGCATAAGCTGTTCGACTCAGTTCGAACTTCGAAGGCCGGAACACCCGATGTGGTCTTTTCTTGGAAATCGTTCTGGCTGGCTGGTCCGAGCCAAAGCACAAGTTTTACAACTTGCGGTTGGATTGGAATCAGAAGAAGCGGTTTCAACGCACGAAGTTATAAACAGATCGAGCCAATTGACAACCAAACACCAATATGACACAAAGTCGTCTCTGGTCAAAAAAATTGCGTCAAATCACCAAATTGTGTTTTAGGTGCAGATGGTTGGTTGAGGATCAATACATCTTCCCTCGCAGTAGATACGGATCAAATCGCCTGCTGAAGTCTGATGAATTCTGGCCTTGAAGCACGCCGTAGCTGTTGAAGACCGAAGCGAGTGAGATTGACCCTGGCAATGGCAAGGGAGAAAATGCGAAGACGTGAGGAAGCTCGAAGGTGAAGCGTATCTATACATTTACACATGTTTTTATCTCCTAAAAAAAGTCGTCATGGCTATATCGCTATAAAGCTTGTAACGTCAAGTGTTACATACGCTATACTGTGAGCCAGCATGCGCACCCTGTAATAAATAAATATGTGTACAAGACGAAAGATTAGAAGCTCTGACAGGTTGGAGTTAAAAATTACATAAAGAAATCTAACATTCAGCGATTGAGCAGTAGAGCTAACGTCATTCGAGACTTGAGCTTTGAAGAATGCGGTTGTTTCAATGATCAATCCCAGGAGTGCTGCCGTGTCGATCCGCATTGTTAACCAACTCTTATCATCTGGCATGAGCTGCCATGATGGGCTAGCACCTGCACAAGAGCAGCAAAATGACTCGGGCAGTTAAAGCTCCCCAAGTTATAAGCCATCTGACGATGAGGCTATGAGTTAGAGGAGAGATGCTGAGGCAGTTTGTTTTGACGACTGCAGTTGCTGCCTTCTTTTACCCGTGTGATGAGTATGCTGTTGCACTAGCGAGGGTTGTGGCGGCTTTAGCGAGAGTAGCGAGCGAGCCAACGTGTTTTCCAAAAGAAAAAGCAAAGCTGGAAGAGATCCACTAGTTTCTGTTTCATAACACGCAACGCTAATAGACTTGGAAGCGAAGGCATTGTTGGGTAAGAGAATGAATATTTCGAACAGCTTTAGTCTGAGCTATGAGCAGATAGGCAGTACTAGTAGCTCTCATTCCTCCTTGCTGCACTGCACACATATCCATCCGACAAAAACAAACATGGAGGACAGAACTCTTACGAGAGGGGCGTCGGATATTTTGCGTAGGTCCAATATATTGTAGCTTCCCTGTCTCTTACATTCTTCGTTCATGCCAGGGGTTGGGCTACCAGCTGCTCAGCATTCAGCCAACAAGAGCAACTACATATTATTTGATCACTGGTGTCAAGTTACCTCCTCCGACATTTCATCAGTAGAGAAGAGATCGAGTCCTTCGTTAATCCTGTGTTGTCCTTGACCAGACACCGATCCGCTCAATGAACAATTGGGGGAACAAGAGGTCAGATGTTGGAAAGAGACACGGGCCGATAGCGTCAAGAGACCTTGATGAGGATAACAAATATTCTCAAGCGGCAAACTGGCAAACTGACGTACATAGCAGAGTGCGACTCATCGAGTCGTCACCGCTGCTCAAGTCCACCTGCGATGGATTCACAGCAACACAGATGGCGTGTATTGAACAGAAACTGTGAGGCATAAAACACCCAGAATGTGATACAGAGATCCAACTCATAAAACATCCCAGTTTGGATGATTCGGTTGGTGAGAAGCAGCCTCTGCTTGAACCTTCAGACCTGACCAAGCTTTCCAGTGATTTACAATCCTGATCAACAATCATGCCGTTTCTCCGATCCAAGTCATGGATATCCGGAGACAGCTGCAGCCGTTGTTCCGAAGGACATGCCAAGCAGACAAAGCATTTTTCAAAAAAATGATCCCTCATTTCCAACTCGACATATTTCAGCCTCACGTGAGACGTCGACTGGGGAGGCGGACGTCCCCGCTCAGGGCTGTGATGCTTTGGGCAGTTCCAGAGGACTCAGCTTAGTTGATTGGCAACGGGGTTCTGGGCTCAGGTTTAGGGGTGTCAAGATAACTTCTGGCAAATGAAAGGAGGATAGGTTCGTTACATTGATTACTTTCAATTATCGAGATCCGCTCCAGACGCTTCGAAGGACTGTAGGAAAGGGAGACCCGAATCAGAGAAGAGCTGATGTTAGTTTGAGATAAGGGTAGACACTGACGTCCGTCTTGAGTGGCTAGTCGGTTGATGCTGTCGTCGGCCTCTCCCTCACGCCTGACGAATCCCGAGAGAGCGTAAGTGATGTTCTTCCCTGGGATGGCTTTGCCCTCCTCGTCAACCTCGGCAACGTTGATTTGGACTGATGAGTGGTCCTTGGCGGTGATCACTGTTGTAATTCAGTGTAAATGTGATCGATTGTCTACCTGAGTCAGCGAAAATCTGGTAATACGAATGAATCTGGGCTGGTAGAGAAACTGACGTCGGTTGGTGGCGGCACACTTTCGTGGCACGTACAAGTCGACAACAATTCCTTGATCGTTTTCCATCTGAAATCAAGGCAGGCGTTCAAGTCAGGTGTATGTGTTGTGTGCGAGGGCTTGTATCGTATTCGAGGCAGACCGGCGTTGGGACAGAAGGCTTACTACCGATGCTGGGATTGGTGTTCGGTTGGAAGGCTGGGATGTGGAAGGGGTGATTTCTTTGGCCCCGAAAGGGGGGGGGGGGGACCCCGCTGCCGAGAAGGCGTGGCAGTTGGAGTCCGGTCAAGGTTAGGTTTCAAATGTTGAGAGTGGGGGGCGGGTGACCCCCCGGCTGAGGGAGGCTCTGCGGGCAGGCTGAAACCTAACCGGACTCAAGCCGAACCCTCCACTCAGACCACTGGCGCGGGCCTCAAGACACCCACGACACACTCCGATTCCAATCGACCGAGAAGACGAACGACGACCGAAGACGACATGGCCAAGTTCAGCAAAGGTCAGAATCTTCCCTGGCTCAATCATCTGCTCAGACCGCGGCCCTTCCTTCCTCGTTTGCCCGCATTGGCTAGCCCCCATGTGTTTTCTTTTTGTTGAATGGGTCGTATCCATCTTCTCGAATCGTTTCCTCCACCGGTTTACCTCCGCAAAAGTTTTCATCAAGACCAAATTGACCCGGCTTCATTTTCGTCTGAACACAAGCTGACATCAGACCTCTTCGTGATAATGTTTTGACCGTAACAAGATGTCTCGAGCTCCCGCCGTAAGTCGCGGAAGGCCCATTTCCAAGCCCCTTCGCACGAAAGACGGATTATCATGTCTTCTGGTCTGTCGAAAGAGCTAAGGGCTAAGTACAACGTACGTCTGGTTTTTCCCCAACCCGCTTTTCTTCAATCCATTTACATCCTAATCAAACACTCCCCTTCTCAACTCACTCCATTAGGTTCGATCCATGCCCATCCGAAAAGACGACGAGGTTGTTGTCGTCAGGGGAGCTTTCAAGGGACGCGAGGGCAAAGTCTTATCGGTATACCGTAAGAAATACGTGATCCATGTCGACAAGGTCACCCGGGACAAAGTAAATTCCAAGTTCATTTTTCTTCATAATCTCAACCCTTCTGGTTAACTGGAAATTTGCTTTACTTTTTCTTCCCAGGCCTCTGGACAAACAGTCCAAATTGGTGTTCACCCTTCAAAGGTCGTCATTTCCAAACTCTACCTCGACAAGGACCGCAAAGCAATCTTGGCAAGGAAAGATCGGGGAAGCCCAAAGGAGAAAATGCAAGTCGATTGAGGTTCTTGGAAGTCGAAATCTAATTGTTCTCCCATTTGCAAATGATCCTCTATGTCCCAAAAAGAAACTCTCGCCATTTTCCAACTCCTATGCCAATTTTTCACTCATATCGAGAGTAAATTGTATGGCCTTGCCATCGCACAACACATCATGCTACTTGTCATCATGTTCACCCCCAAGTAATTGACCGCGGGATCCTATCAATCCCCCTCATAAGGCATTGTTAATTCTTCTTAGATAGAGCTCATGGAGGTAACTATGTGCTAGAAAGTTAACACTCTGTTTGGCCTTCGAGACAGGCAGTTTGTGAACACTTGATTCAGTAACCTTGCTTTTGCTCCCCACTCATTAGCAAAGTGTTATAAGACCCGAATTTTAGCCCAACCCGATTGATGATAATCGTATGGTAATGAGAAAAATCGTGGTCAGCATGGGGCGCACATGCGAAGGTCCACATGCCATTTCGTGAACCCAAGTTTAGGTGCCACCTTTGTGCCACCTCCGCTTTCCCCTTCACGATTTTCATAATTCCTCACCATTTTACTTGGTTCTTGTTTTTGATCCTGTCTACTAAAGTGAGATGTGGGTGATTCATCAGAGATAATCAGAAATAAGTCCTTGTAAATCTTCCTTTCAAGTTACAAATAATTGGATTTGTGTTGTGGTCTGTCTTCCTTCTTTCTGAACTTTCTCAAATATTCTTGTCTACCCAACTGTTTGCATGGATATGGAATTGAAAGAAACCAAAAGTTTGGTCAACTGTATCTTTCCTCCAGTCCAAGGTTTCAATAAAGGCTTCAATGGAAAGTGCGGACCCCTGGGTCCCTCCCTGACTTGTGACCCCGGGGCTTAGGGCATCATGATGGGTCTTGACCTTGTCAACACCCCAAACTCTGGGGCATTGATTTTTCTTGCTTGGATATGTGAGTTCTGGTACATTTCACATGTTTTTTTCAGGATTTTATGGATTTTTTTTGTTGGATGTATTGAACATTAATCCTAGGTGTTAGCAGGCTTGCTCAAACAGTAGTTTGAACTTTGAAGGGGCTTGAAAGAAACAAAAAATGGAGGAAAGGATGATATCAGACTGACTAACCCAGAGAAATGGGTCTGGAGGCTGATTATGTAGCTCTCAGAAAAAATGTTGTGCCCCAGTCCATTTTCAGGGTCTAGGAGTGGGGTTTGGGATGAGCCTCATTCCCCATCCCAAACCCTTAATTGGGGGGTGAGGATGCCTGGGTTGAAAATTGCCAAACCACCCTGCCCCATTTATGACTGGATTGGGTCTTATTTCAGAAAGGTCCAACCCCCCCCCCCCCCTGTTTGGGATAACCTGAACTTTTTGACTGATTGATTTTTTTGCCATTTCCAGAAGAATCCCTAGAAAAAACCATAACAGCACAGGAAAAATGGGGTCTCTGGAGTGCAAAACTCTAAAACATTTGCCAAGTGGGCAATCATGGGAACCCACAGGCAAGCCATATTCTAATCTATGAGGCTTGACAACCAGCACATAGTGGGCCAGTCAGTAGGTCAGTCCATGCAGGTAACAACTTGCCTTCAGGCTGAATTTCCACATCCCAGAGCCTGAATTTAGCACAAGCCCCCATTCCTTGCTGTGGGTGGCATTGGCATGCAAGTGGCCTTGCCCCTGTCACATTGCACTGACTGCAGGGAGGGACTTGTGCCTAAAGTCCTCCTCCCTGTGTGGATCCTGAGAGGTGTTTTTGCTCTTTTTGGTGACAAACTTTGCACCCTTTTCAAACATGGTCCTGTCAACCCAGTTTCTCCAACAATCAGTCTGATTGAAGCTCTACATCTGCACTTCCCGGCTACATAATTGTCATGTTACATTAATGATCATCCATTGTGGAAATTCAAGCAATAGGGGGTATAAAAAATGGAAAATCAGAAAACTCAATCCTCATTTTCTCTTGCATTGTTATCATTGTACTTTGTTTTTAAACAGTTATTGGTTCAAAAGAAACTGGTGTTTTAAGGTTTGAAAATTTTCATATTTGATACCCCCTAATGTAAATTTTTGATTTTTTGGGTGATAGTGGGAAGTAAAATATATAAAAAGTTGGAAGATTGGAGAATAGGGGGTATCAAATATAGAAAATCCACCATTAGAAACCAGTCAATTTTTCCAAAACTTTTTTTTGCATCAATGGGCCCCAGAAGGGGTTAAATGAATAACCAACATGGTTAAAAAAGGCTGGATTTTCTCAAACCAGTCAATTAAATGATGGTGGATTTGGTTATATTTGATACCCCCTAATAATGAAAATGCACCACCCATTCTGATGTTTTTTCTCAGTCTTTGGTTACCTTCAACTTGATAGACAGACAGAGGTCAGGATGTAAATGGGTCGGAAAACCCTGCCTAAACCCAACCCAAGGTACATGCTGGGTTGGGTTGGGTCGGGTCAGATTTGCCAAATGGCTGCCCAAACCCAAACTCAACTATGGGGAGCTTGTTTCTTGGTTGGGTTCAGGTCAGGTTTGGGTTGACCCAAACTTTTTGGCTGCACAGCGTGGTTTCTTTGTGTGTTTTCAGTAATAATCATGGGAGTGGGCAATAACACAATGGGAAGTGATAAAATAAAAGAAAGGGATAATTGGTAATAATCATGGGAGTTGGAGTCATTTTTGGTGTTGCTGGGTTGTTTACCAAGCTCACTTCCTCTAGTAGCTTGCGAGCTCAAAGGGGTGGTGGGGACAATGTCAGACTGACTCTTAGGTGCTGTCACTTTTGATTTTGCCGGTGGGTTGGTTGAAGAGCTGGTAGAGCTGGTGCAAGGAGGAGGCTAAGTTGGAGCCTTTTTCTTCTTTGGCTGAGCCATTGATGTGGAGGTGAGTGGTTGAGGGGGAAGATCAATGATTGATGGTCTAGGGAGATGGCTCCGGGGGCGGGTTGGGGCAACTCCGCTCCAAACTTGGAGCTTCTGCACTCTGTGAACGCTGTGCCAATCCCATGGCCAGGTCACAGTTGGGTTGGCAGGTTGACCCAGGAAGTGAAAAGGCTGCCCAAACCCAACGGTGGGCCGCTACACTAACTGTAGCGGTTAGTGTAGCATAAAACAGCGGAATTGCTGTTAGCGCTAAGCGTAGCGTAGCAGAATCCCGCCATGACACCGCTAACACTATACGTGTGGGCCCCAAAAAAGGGCCCACTACGCTGCGCTACAGCGCTCTTTAGCGCTTTTTGGCCGCTTTTTCCGCTAAAAGCGCTGTAGCGCAGCGTAGCATAGCAAAAAACTGCTGAAAACCGCTAACACTACACTTTTTTGATAAAAAAAAGCACCGCTACACTACGCTGTGAGAACTCCTTTGGGATGGATGGCAGTCCTGCGAGGGGGAAATAGCAGTGATAATATTTCAGGTATGTATGAAGCTATTACAACTGTTACGGGTGGTTTGAAAGACCTGCCCCTCTAATGTACTACACTAGAATTCTGACAACAAATTTATTTTATTGTTGTGGCAAAAAAACTGATGATGAAGAAAACTGTATGTAGTAGTCTCTTATCAAACCTAGATCAACGTGGAATCAGCTGAGACTTAGTGGAATTTTGAGTAGAAAGAATTTGGCGTGGTTTACAGAAGTCTGGAATCAGATAATGGAAAGAGTTGAAAAGCTGAGAGATATTTTTGTATGTTTTATATGTTTATATGAGTGAAGTAAAGTAAATGTTGATATGAAAAAGACTGAGAGAAAACTGATGATAAAATATGAACTATTCAAAGTGTCTTTGCCCTCCTCCTTAACCTTCAGTTAAGAGAACAAATGGGTTAAGATCACTTTGACTTGTTAAGAGCACAAGGGGTGATACTTGCTACTTGACTTCTTCTATGCTTCCTGAGGTATGAAAGATGTTGATGGGCCACCTGATTGAGATCACACTGTTGGATTTTAACTTAAGTTGACTTGAAGACTCTGAGTGGGAGGTGAGTAGCTGGTAGATGTGCCGGATTGGCATGAAAAACTGATCTGAGGAGGGAGAAATGACCTCCTTATATAGTAAATTGTGAGGGATTTTAGCTAGTGAGGACATCCTGTGAGGGATTTATGCTGGTGTGACTTCTTCTTTGAGGGATTTTAGCTGCTCGGAAGCTTCTATTGAGCCATTTTTGCTGGTGTGTCATGTGATCTGCACTGTCCCATACAGAAAATCACACGTGTTGCGGAATGTTCCTTCTATGTTGAGGCATTTTTGCTGGTCTGTTGTGAAAATACGTGTGATCCAAGCGTGTGGCTGGTGATGTCATGTGAAAATATGTGTGATACAAGCATGTGATCATGCATGTGACTAAAACATGTGATCATACATATGCCTCTACAAACAAGATTGTAACTATACACTTATATATAAATCTATACTATTTACTACCCAGGACAACTATACTATTCTGTAATAAAAAACTGATTTATCCAAATAACTTTTAACTGAGTGGAGCTAGCCTAGTGGTTTGAGTGAGTGACTATGGGTTAAATGACCTGTAGAATCTATTGAAGTAATAATAACACCAAGAATCTAGCCTATTATCCAGAGTGGATCATGAATTTATGCAATTTGGTACTTGAAACACATTTGGCACACTACAACGCTTTTTGGGCCAAAAGCGTAGCGGCCCACCGCTACCAAACCCAAACCCAATTAGAGGTCAGGTCTGGCCAGGTTGGGTCAGAATGGTTTTTTTTGGGTCAGAGGCTGCCCGAACCCAACCTCCAACCCAACGGGTCTTGGGTCTCTCCCGGGTCAACCACTGCCAAAGTGATTGTATCAGATTGCTACATCTGGCATTACATCAGATAAAAATACCTGATATTACATCAGGAAAAACTGGGATTGTATCTACCAGAATTGATATGATATCTACCTAAAATGATATTGTGTCCATCATGAAAGATATTGCATCAGACCAGCCTATTCAATGCCAGCATAACTGAATTCATATCAGATTTTTCTATCTGATTTAATGCCCATGGGCTAAAAATTTGTATTGAATGTAAAAATCTGATATAAATTCAGTTATTTTGACATTAAATAGGTTGGGCTGATGCAATATCTGTTATGATAGATATAACATAATTCTAGGTAGATATAATATCACTCATGATAGATATAATACCAGTTTTGCCTGATGTAAAATCAGATTTTTTCATCTGATGTAATGCCAGATGTGGGAATCTGATATAATCACATTTGCAGTGAACCCAACCCATTTACATCCTGAGACAGAGGTCATCTTTGGGGGGATATTCAAAATAGAGCCATTTCCAAGTGCAGATGACAGGTTTCACTCAAAGAGGTAAGTATCATTGTGTGCGGTAGATTGCTGCACTGATTTCAAGGGGATTGTTGGACCCCAAAAAATGTATTTGTTTTTGTTGTTTTTGCTTGGGGCATTGTT